TTAAGGGGGAAAGCTTATGAAGCTTTTTTTTGGCGGGGTGGGGGTTCTACTGAGGATTGAACCTAGGGGTGCTTTACCACTGAGTTATATCCCCAGCCCTTTTTTATTTTTTATTTTGAGACAGATTCTCACTGTATTGCTTAGGGCCTTGCTAAGCTGTTGAGCCTGGTCTCAAACTTGAATTCTCCTACTTCAGCCTCCTAAGTCACTAGGATTACAGGCATGCACAATCATGCCTGGCTTGTGAAGTTCAAGTACATAAGACTAAATGATCCATTACACTTTTTTTTTTAAGATTAAATAAATTGACCCCTTTTACAACAGCTCTGTAGAGGGTGTACTTCAGCCAACCCAGGGCATTGTCCATTCATACAAAGCAAAACCCAGAGCAAGCCCAATAGCCTGCCCCATCTGACAACTTCTATCAGTGAAGTAATACCAGTGACCTACCTTGCTTGTTTACCTAGCTTGTTCTTAGAAGAAGATAGTTCTTGTGACCCAGTTTTGTCTCTAGTTACGGAGAAACTGTAACACTACTGAGTTTTGGCCCAATAAAATTTAGCTCACATGCTTGCATTTGAGTTAGAATAGCGAGGTCAGTGTTCTGACATTCCTAAAGGATAATTGGGCATATGTATCCTGGCCTGGAGGAACATTTGTATCTATGTGGGTGGCAGAGCAGAAGACCACTGACCCTTACTATATATTGAAATCTTGGTGGACTGGCTTCATTACAGTGTGTTCTAAATCATACCATTGTACATGTTCTTCATCTACCCAGATAGAAATGAGGTTATTTTTTTTGGGGGGGGGGTAGGGGAATGGCAATACTTGAACTGAATTTTTTAAAAAAATGTCCCTGCCCATAGATTAGTTATAGATTTCTTAAATAAAATGAATGATATTGGAGCACACAGAATATAGCTATAGGGGGTTTAGAGAGTAGGATGCATGAATTAGTCTCACCTCTCTAGACTTGAATTTGCAACTTCTGATTCCTTTATGATGCAGAACAGCATATATCAAAAGGTGAGGCAGTAATTTCCCAGAAATGTTAGAAAGTTCTAATTAGTATACTACTGCTAGAGAAAGCAGTCATGAAAATCATCTTCAATGGTAAGTGGTTCGCACTTTTATGGACAGTATAAAGTAATTTAGTGTATTTTACATTCATGAATAATCAGGGCAGGCTAATCTTGCATGTTTGTTTCCTAATTATTTTTAGCACTCCCATCGTTTCTCTTTCTTTGGCGAGGAGCTGGAACGTCCTAACCGCAGTGTAGCGCACACCATGGAACAGTAGCAAATGTTAAGGCCCTAGTCTATTCAGTTGCTTTTGTAGAGAAAGCAATCATTCAGATAACTGCCAGTAATGACAACCTTGTTGATTATATCAGTCAAGATCTATTATTAAGCATGCAGACAATTTCATTTTTGCCTTACAAATATGTTTTTATTTTTTGATAAACATGTATAATAGTAACATATAAAGATAACCCTTCCTCAATAAAACCTGGTTCTATAAAGAAAAGGCACAAAAGCTCTTCATGTTTATAGATAGTTTGTTTCCCTGAGCAACAGAAAATGCAGTGCTTATTTAACTTAACAGCAGTACCACAGGGGGAAAAATATAAGCCTACAGATGGTAAGGGTATCCATGTTTTCTGGTTGTTTTTTCATGAGGTACCTCCAACTCCGAGTTAACTGCAACCACAGAGTCAATGACATCATGGATGAGGCTGAGAGAGCTCTCCCACATTGCTGGACCAGACCATGGACTACTTTTGTAGAGTTGGCCGCTTTGGACCTTGAATGTGGGAAATAATTCAGAGAGATGCAGATATCTACGAGAGGAAATGGGCTAGTGAGAAAGTACTCATGTTCTGAGCTTCTATGATAATTGTACTTATAAGAGCTATCGGTCCCTATTTCAGGGGGGTTATGATATACTCAAAATCTTCATTAGCCTCCCTGTTTATACTCTGCTGTTTGATGTCGCCTCTAACTTGGAGTCATTTTGTAGAGCTGTTACTTTGAGACCTCAGAAATCCAGGGAAATTTAGCATGGCTGCTAAACCTGAGCACAGAAGGGCTTTAGATTCAACTTGGCAATCTATCTAAGATGGCAAGCATCTTAGAATCTCCCTAAAGAAAGGTTGAGCTCAGCAGCACTTTGTGAATACTGTACTCTTTTGGCAGGTTTCCCTGTTTTGTTGTACCAGACCTTATTGCTGGACTGTGGACTCTGGTGTATTAACTGACTTCTGAGATGCATTAACAAAAAAGGCTAATATTACCAATATTCACTTAATAAAAACAAAACAACAACAACAAACCCCAACATTTACTGTTGCCTTGTAGCTCTCTCCTTTGGCCTCTGGATATCCACTGACATCACTTAAAATGAACCATTTAATTTCTGATAGCTACATGCCAAGTTGGTTTACGTACTTCTGTTTCTCAGCATTCCACAGATGCCACACTGCTCAAAGCTGTGCTTTAATGCATCTTAACAGATTTTCCTTCCCTGTCCTGCACAGTCTCCCTGTTTGAGGTTCTCATGGAGTAGCTGCTTGTACTCTCCACTGACACGCATCCATGGCACTTGATTAGCCCACCAAGCTAAACTGCAGCAAGTGTCACTGCAGTGCCAGTGGGTTAGCCGTGCTCCAGAACTTTTCACTCCTGCCTCTACCTGATGCTAAGTGTTTTGTAGAAGAGGGAGATTAAAGCACTTAAGTGAGGGCGGAACCAAGTTTCATAGATCAGTGAAAGGTGCATGATTATTATTTCAGTTGCCCTAAAATGTACCTGTTTTGATTCATTTTTGCACTGTTTCAGCCAATGTATAACATCACTATGTAGATGTTTGCCTGGGTTAAGTTTTCTTGTCTAAGACAGGTTGTGACTTAAATCTTCCCATTTAGTTTTTAGACCTTAGTATACTTATAGCTACAGAATCATTTATAAAATCAGAGGGCTTTCCACAATGGATACCTTAAGAGTCTGATTACGTTGGGCAGTGGCTGGACAATGTTTATAAAGCACATTTGATGATGTTTAGATTTTTTTTTTGAAGGTAGAAACACTTAACTACATAAAATAGAGTAAAAGGGGAAAGCTGTTTATTTGACTTTGCTTTACTGCTTTCATGATGAAGAGTAGACCATCCACTTGGATTTGAAAGATTAATATCATGAAAATCTCAAGCCCCTACTACCAGTCAGCAAACATGTTTTAGAAACTGTTACAACCTGGCTTAGCTGATTGGTGTAAACTTAACAGAACTCTTGAAGATGATGCCTGGAAATAAGGTAATGGACACAGTAGTGACCCCCAGATCCATTAGCACCCATATTTCTTTTTTGCAGCATAGGGTCCATAAGTCTCTGGTTCTGATCTCTTCTGAGACTATTGCTAGTGGAGGAGGGTTCCCCAAAAAGCTTGTAAAGCAGCTTTAAGAGAAGTCTTTATTTCCAAGTTAGTGTCCTGGGCTAGAAACCTTAGTTTGAATTGTCTTTCAATCCCCTTAAGCACTAAAACTCAAATGACAAGATTGCCTCTTTCAGTTCTTACCTCTGCCTTTTTCCAGGGCACATACCTGTGTTCAAGGGAAGTGTCTTCTCTTCACCCCTCACCTTCCTCTCAGGTCCAGCTCCACTTAGATTACTAAAGTCACTTCAGAGTTGAACTCCCTCCTACCACCTGATGTCTTTGCAGTTCTGCAGCCCAACTAATCTCTTGTAAAACATAAGAACTCATCGGTTAGGGAAATTACCAAATACCCTTGGCCCACATAGACACACAAAGTGAGTCAGTCAACTAGTTGGGTTCACTCACATGCTAATAGGAGCTATGGTGTTGCAGAATGTTTGCTTACATTGGTACAACTTCTGTAATATGTTAGAGATGGCTTTTATAAGAATAAAAGTCATTCATAAAAGCATAGTAAACTTTTTATGTTTTAAAATAAACTTTTGGCACAAATCCTTGAGACTTTCTGTTCTGTGGTCTTGTATTTATATATTTAAGAATACTGTGGGAATTCTTGGTAATACATGTTAAAGTCCTTAGGCCTGTCATGTAACTCAGCTTTTCTATCCACATCTGTTTTGTATAAATCCTGTTAGAATCTCCCCTTGTAGGAATTCTTAAGCCTAATTAAAAGTTGGAGCCATAACACATGTGAAGGAATTGAAAAAGCTCCTGGAAATGACATATGTCAGATGATGTTCAAGTGTTGACTCTACTTGCTATGCTTCTAATATTTCATGGACATGTTGTTAACTCGTGGAAGATCTAGCAAAAGGAATTTCAGTAATGCTTTATCTTTATAAATTGTTTCATATTTAATTGATGGCTGACTCTTAACACTTCAGTGTGTGATTTCCTTGTCTCATTTTGCTTCTCATTTCTTCCCTGAGGAGTCAGAAATATTTTGATAATTTTTAAACAAATACTTTAATGTCTAAGACATTAAACTTGTTAGGAAAATTAAAGCCCATAGGTAATTTTATAAGGCAAAGAATGTCTTTGTAAAATGAAATTATATTGTGATATAAATTTATATTTTATCAAATCCTTTACTTTTTTAAAGAATATTTTTAGTTATAGATGGAACAGTACCTTTATTTTGTTTATTTAGTTTTATGTGGTGCTTGGGATCAAACCCAGGGACTCACACATGCTATGCAAGCTCTCTACCACTGAGCTACAACACAGCCCTCAGATTGTTTTTTTAAAGTGAGGATACACTTTTAGTTTTGAAATGTTACTTCCAAAAATTAAGATCTTCCGTTGTTCATTGAAATTTTGTTAAAACTTTATATATTCTAAAACCGTCTTCTTTGTAATTGGAAATTTTAACACCCAGTCAGAGATTATTATGCCATTCATTTTCTTGAAACTATTTAATCAAACTCAGTAGATTAAATATTTTTGAGTTAATTATTGACAGCCTAAAAGAGCAGTATTATTTTCGTTGTTAAGAAGAAATTATCATGCTCTCTTTGGCAGCATGTATGCTAAAATTGGAACCATACAGAGAAGATTAGCATGGTCCCTGCACAAGAATGAGACACAAATCTGTGAAGCATTCCATAGTTTTGTACATAGAAAAGAAAGTTTAGGCCCAACTCTCCATCATGTCCATTTAAGAACTGACTTCTGCAACAAGACTCCTAAAGCTCAAGGAATAAAATCAAGAATCAATAAATAGGAGAGTGTCTAACTAAAAGGCCTCTTTACACCAAAGGAAAAAAATTAAGAATATGAAGAGAGAACCTACAGAATGGGAGTAAATCTTTGCCACCTGTAACTCAGAACATTAATCTCTAGGATATATAAAGAACTCAAAACTCTTTTAACAAAAACCCAAATAACCCAATCAATAAATGGGCAAAGGAACTGAATAGGACTTCACAGAAGAAAAAATATGAATGGTCAACAAATATATGAGAAAAATGTTTGACATCTCTACCAATTAGAGAAGTGCAAATAAAAATTACTGAGATTTCATCTCACTCCAGTCAGAATAGCATTTTTCAAGAATATAAGCAATAATTAATGTTGGTGAGGATGTGGGGAAAGGGGGACACTCATACATTGTTGGTGAGACTGCAAATTGTTGCAACCACTATGGAAAGCAGCATGAAAATTTCTCAGAAAATAAAGAGTAGAATCGCCATTTGACCTGATTATACAACTCCTTGGTGCATATCCAAAGGAGTTAAAATCAGCATACTATAGTGATTCAGCCACATCAATGTTTATAACAGCTCTACTCACAATACCTAAACTATGGAACCAACCAAAGTGCCCTTCAACGTATGAATGGGTAAAGAAAATGTGATACTATATACACAATGGACTATTACTCAGCCATAAAAAAGAATGACTTTGTGACTTTTGCTGGTAAATGAATGAATCTAGAAACTATCATGCTAAGTGAAATAAGCCACACTCCCCCCCCCCAAAAAAAAAAAACAAAGGCCAAATGTTCTTTCTGATGTGGATACTAACACACAACAAGGGGGATGACAGGAAAAATACAACTTTGGAGTAGAGAAAGGGGAATGAAGGGAACAGGGGAGATAGGAATAGGAAAGACAGTGGAATGAATCAGACATAACTTCACTGTGTTCATATAGGAATACACCACAGTGAAACTCCAGATGTATAATCACAAGAATAGGATTCTAATTAGAATATTATACTCCATGTATGTATAATACGTCAAAATATACTTTCATGTATATCTAAAAAGAACAATTTTTTTTAAGAGAGAGAAAGAGAATTTTTTTAATATTTATTTTTTAGTTCTCGGCAGACACAACATCTTTGTTTGTATGTGGTGCTGAGGATCGAACCCAGAACGCATGCATGCTAGGCGAGCGCGCTACCGCTTGAGCCACATCCCCAGCCCCAAAAGAACAAATTTTGAAAAGAAGAAATTATCTACCATTTTTATTATAGAATTTTCTACAAATATGAACATAAACTTACTTTCATCTTTGCATATACAGTTATAAAAGCACTTGTTTAATTGTATTACTAAATGATTTTTATTTAGGATAGTGATTCTCAGCCTTCAGTGTGTATCAGAATCACCTGGATAGATTGTTAAAATTCAGATTATTGGGCCCTGTTCTTAGAGTTTCTGATTCAGTAGGTGTGGGCTGTTGATGATATTGCCAGATCACACTTTGAGAATCATTGGTTTAGGATTTTTGGTAAATAGAAAAATAAATTTAAATAATTTTTTTTAAATTAGAGCATTATAAATATACATAGTAGTTGGGTTCATTTTGACAGAATTTTATATACATAGAATTTGATTTCAATCCCTATCTCCTTTTCCTTTCCCTCTTCTCTCCTCCTGTGCTCCTTCCTCTATTCTACTGATCTTCCTTTCACTCATTCATTTATTTATTTTTGTTTGGTACTTTCTACATATACAGAAAGGTGAAATTCCGTGTGGTATATTGATATATGCTGTTAAATTTATTTCATATTTCCTCCTCTTCCCCCTGTCAATCTTCTTCCACTTTACTGATCCCAATATCTTTGTGATGTCCTCCCTATTTCCTGCTTTCTTTTCTTTATTTTGTTGTAGCTCTCACATATGAGAGAAAATTTCTGTCCTGATTTTCTAAGTGTGTCTTATTGCACTTAGCATGATATGTTCCATTTCCATACATGTACCAGCAAATGCCATAATTTTATTCTTTATGGGTGAATAAAATTCTGTTGTGCATACGTATTACTTTGTTTGATTCATTCACCTATCGACAGACATCTGGGCTCATTCCATAAGCTGACTATTGTAAATTGTGCTATTATAAACATTGAAATGGCTGTATTGCTATAGTATACTGACTTTAGTTCTTTTGGATATATATTGAGTAGTGGGGTAGCTGAATCATATTGTGGTTCTATTCCTAATTTTTTGAGGACTTTTTACTGCTTTCCTGATAGTTGTACTAATTTGCATTCCCTTCAACAATGCATGCATGCACCTTTTTTCCCACATCCTCACCAGCATTTATTAATATTTGTATTCTTGATAATTGTCATATTTTGAATGGAGTGAGTTAAAATCTCAGTATAGTTTTATTTGCATTTCCCTGATTGCTAGAGATATCGAACATTTTGTCATATGTGTGTTAGCCATTTGTATTTCTTCTTTTGAGAAGTATCTGTTTAGTTATTTTCCCCATTTGATTGGGCTATTTATTTATTTATTTGGTGTTAGGGTTTTTTTTTATTTCCTTATATATTCTGAGTATTAATACCCTATCAGAGGAGCAGCTGGCAAAGATTTTTCAACCATTCTGTAGGCTCTCTCTTCATGCAATTAAACTTTTTCTTTGCTGTACAGAAGCTTTTTAATTTAATGGCATCCTATGTATAAATTTTTGGTATTATTTCTTGAGCTTTTAGGGGTCCTGTTAAGGAAATCAGTGTCCGTACCTTTGAGATGGAGTTTTCACTGTGTTTTCATCTAGCAATTTCAAGATTTATGATCAAATACCTAGGTCTTTGGTCCTGTTTGATTTGACTTTTGTGCAGGGTTGAGAGATGGGTATCTAATCTCATTTTTCCATATATGGATATGCAATTTTCCCAGCTCCATTTGTTTAGAAGGCTTTCTTTTCTCCAACATATATTTTTGGCATCTTTGTCAAGTATCAAATGGGTATAAGTATGTAGTTTTGTCTCTGTCTTCTATTCTGTTCCATTGGTCTTTGTGTCTATTTTGATGCCAATACCATGCTGTATTTATTACTGTAGCTCCATAATATAATTTAAGCTCGGGTATTGTGATACCAGGAGCATTGCTCTTCTTGCTCAGGATTACTTTAGTTACTTTGGGTCTCTTATTCTTCCAAATGAATTTAAGGACTTTTTTTTTCTATTTCTGTGAAAAATGTCATTGATATTTCAATGGGGATTTTATTGAATAATGTATATTGCCTTTCATAGTATGGCCATTTTGACAGTATTAATTATCCCTGTTCAAGTGCATGAAGTCTTTCCATCTTTGAAGATCTTTAGGGTTTTCAGTTTTCTATAAATTTCATTGTAGAGATCGTTCTCCTCCTTGCTTAGATTTATTTCCATATTTTTTTCAGGTTATTGGGAAAGGATGGTTTCTTAGCAAAATATCTGTCAGAGTATTGGGAAGCTATTGATTTAGGTATGTTGATTTTGTATTCTGTTAGTTTGCTGAATTCATTTATCAGATGCAAAAGTCATCTGGTAGAGGGAATTTTATGGTTTTTTGAGTCTTATAGATATAAGATAATATCAGCAGAGATACTTTTACTTTTCCTATTTGTAAGCCCTTTAATTTCCTTCTATTGCCTGATTGCTGTGGTTAGAGTTTCGAGAATCTCATTGAGTTTAAGTATTGAGAGTGAACAACCTTGTCTTCTTCCTGATCTTAACTGAAATGTTTTCAGTTTTTCTTCATTTGGTATGATATATTGACTTTGGATTAGTCCTAAATAGCTTTTGTAAAGTGAAGGTAAGTTTCTTCTAGTCCTAGTTTACCTAGCCTTTTTAAACATGAATGTCTGCTGTTATGAGAGGCCTTTTCTGCATCTACTGAGATGATCGTATGGTTCTTGTCCCTAATTCTATTTAATTGGTGAATTATAATTAATGATTTGCATATGTTTAGCCAATCTTGTGTCTCTGGGATGAAACTCACTTTATCTTGGTGTATTATCTTCTTCATGTGTTTTTGAATGTGGTTTGCTAATATTTTATTAAGATTTTTGCATCTACTACATCTTCGTTGCATTGATTCTTTGTGTTTTTTAAATTCTGAATTTCATTAATTTTGGCTCTGATCTTAATTAATTATTTCCTGTCTTCTGATTTTGGAATTAGTTTGTTTTTCCTTTCTTAAGATCTTGAGGTGGAGCATAAGCTTATTTATTTGGAATTTCTCTACATTTTTTTAAATGTAGACACTTGGTGCTATAAATTTTCCTTGTACAACTTATTTCATATTATTCCAGAGATTTTGATAGATTGTATCTCTGTTCTCATTTGTATCTAAAAATTTCTCAATTTTTTCTCTAACTTTTCTGTGATCCATTCTTCATTTAAAAGATTATTGTCCAATCTTGTGTGTTTATGTGGTTTCTAATATTTTCTTGCTATTGATTTCAAACAGGATTATATTAAATTATATCCTTTAAAAAATTTATTTATTTACATAATTATTTTGTATTTACTAAGATTTGACATTGTAACCTAGAATATATTTCATTCTGGAGAAGATTCCTTGAGCAAAAGATTCCATTACCAAAAGAAGGTAAATTCACCTATTTTGGGTAAACTATTCTGTAGATGTTCATTAGGTCCATTTGATTTTATAGTATTATTTAATTTAGTAATATCTTTATAGATTTTATGTCTGAATTATCTGTACTGATGATTAGAGTGTGGTGAAATCACCCAGTATTATTGCACTGGGGTCTATCTGGGATTTCCTGTCAAGAAGTGTGTTGTTATTTATTCAGTTAGGTACATTTGGACCATATTTGTTTGCTATTGTTATATCTTCTCATTGGATTGTTCCCTTTACCTGGATGT